CCCCCCGAAAAAAAAAGAGGTCTTTGAATTAGTTGATTTTAAATTTGACAGCTATATTCTTCTTAGTAGGTATATTACATCTTCGCCTGTCAATATTATCTTGTACGTAAGCAATTAGGAGTGATGTTTTCACTTCTCTTCGGTTTAGTCTAGCCTTTTTTGTCGCTTTTATTATTATTTTTTTTAATGGGTAAATTGTTCAAATCATGCTCTCGGAGATTGTTTTATAATCATTTAATGACTTCTTTTGATAGCATTCCCTTGATTCGAATTTCCTTTTGAAGTCAAGAGGATTATTCATATAGATATCTATTTAAAGTCTCCATAGAAGAATATTTTCTTGTTGTCCGGTTGGTGTAGAGGCCAATCGAAGTTCCTCATAATATTCAGTTTTGCCATTGTTGAAAGTTCATACCTATAATCGGTGTCATATATTTGAGTAAACTCTTTGGCAACCAATTGAGCTTGATATCTCTCAAGGTTTCCATTTGATTTAACTTCATTAAAATACCCGCTTGCAATTAACTACAAGCATGTCCTCCATTTCCCAAGTCCTTTTTTTTAGGAGCTCTCATTTCCCTTTTTGTCTCAAGGTCTTTCATTTCCTTAAAAACTATTTTCTTTTTCTCACATACTTGTAGAACTTTATGCCCATTTTCATTTTTTTGGATCTCCACAACCAAAAATTGTCATGACAAAAAAGAAAAAAAGAGTGGTGAAATCTCTTTAGGACAACGTCGGTATAGGATGACTAATATGCGATATAGCACCTTTAAGGAATGCAATGTGTACATTAATGTCATCAATTTCCTCCTAAGAATTCAGACAGAATTGATTCATACGTTATGTGTTTTGTTTTTGCTTTGAGTTGAAGTCGATATTGCGAAAGAAGACTCGAGACTCTTTCTATGAGATGATGTTTTACTTGAGCTTTTCAATCCAAAGATTTTGTTTATGTTTGCTAAACCTCTTCGCATAATCATGATCATGTGCAGGGTTTGTACGTGGTCTTGGGAAACTTTCAATATTTAAATTTTTTTATTTTTGAATTAGGATGTTATTTTGTATGAGTTGATTATCATTAAAAGAGATTTGGGTTCAATTTAGTTTTAGAAAAAGTAGATTCTTAAACTAAAGAATCTTCCATTTCTCCCCTATGGTAAGATTTTATTTCGATAAAGGATACATCCATTGTAAAAATCATTTTAAAAGGTTTAAAGTGTTCATACCCTTTTTGGGTTGAGCATGAATATATATTTTGTTGTTTTAGTTTCAAAATTCTGATGTTTTTTTTTTTTCATGATTGCATAGAAACATAGTGTGTGTAACTAATGCTCTCAATGGAAACATTGGATGCAATCCTAAAGTCTGGAATATTTTTGAAACATATGCAAAGGAGTATGAAAATTAAAAATTTTTAAGACTGACGAGATAGTTTTCGGTTAGATGTCATTATTTTCTATAATTTTGGCATATTGGTAAAGAGTAAATTTCTTGCTACTCGGGTTTTATTTTCTCTTTAGCCTATCTCATTTTGTTGTGCAATGTCATTATAAGAACTTCAATGAATAATTTTTGTTTTAAGAAAAAAATTGGCCTTAAGCTTTGTTAGAAGATTATTTGTTGTCACCCAAAAATTTTGAACTTTTGTTGTATTGAGAACTATGGGACCTCGGTCATTTTTTCATTTTTTTTTCACTCTTCCAAATCTTTATATCATGAGCTCAGTATCATTTGCTAACTTGAGGAGCATCTACTCTCTTCCATTTCTCCCCTAAATTTAGGGAAAATGGATATGATGTGCTTTAATTTCATATGACTTCTTCCTGCCTTATAATTTTTCTGAGGATATGTGAATTACATGGCTAAGATTCAATGCTTTCGTCAATTTCTATTGCAAGTTTCATGACACTTTAGACATTGAGCAGGAGTACGAAGACAAAATGCGTGAAAAGGGAGAGTCTCCAGTTATGTTTAGGTGTGCTAATCTTGACTATTTATTAATGGTAAAAATGCCATTTTTCTCTTTCATCCTGATGTGTTTTTTTATATCTTATAATTAATACCAGCCACTTGGGTCCCCCCCGGAGAAGATCAAATACAGAGGAGGATGAGAGAACTAAGCAACCAAAGCCAGAGGTAAGCTGCCTTCATAGTCCTCTATGCTTAGTGAGTAATTATTTCATCAATTTTTTTCTTGCTGCTTTGCAGGATTCAGTTTATTACCATCCCACTCTTAATCCAACTGGGGCTCCACCTCCTGGAAAGCCACCTATGTATAAATCATCAATAGGTTGGTATTGCTTCTTATGTTCTCATGGAGAAATTTCAGTTCATCTTTGATACCCTTTTTATTCAGTTTATATTCTGTAGGACCCAGGATTCCTTTGCCAGCTTCATCAAGTGCAGGACCATCTTCTTCTAAGTCAGAGCCTGAAGAAATCAGTTTGTCTGTACCTCCTCCACCACCCCCACCACCACTGCCAGACTCTGGGAAACTTACTTCTGGAGATGATTCTGATGCACCTTCATCCATACCTTTGCCTCCGCCACCTCCGCCACCCCCTAAGTTGGCACCTTTAAGCGGGTTAATGCCTCCACCACCTCCAGGTCCCCCACCTAAAGGAGCCACGGTGGCTAATGCATCGTTACCGCCACTGCCGCCGCCTCCGCAGTCCCTTCAACGACCTTTTCTGCCACCTCCACCTGGCTTGGGTGGAAATGCAAATCCTATTAATGTGGCATCAGAGGGCATGAATTTGAAGGATGTGAGTTTTAAATTTATTTCGATTATTTTATAAACCACTTTGGTAACAATTTGTTGAATAGCTATTTGGGTTATTTTTGAAATGCGAAAAGTGTCAAAATAGTCCATGATTGTTTGCAGGAGGTCATTTTAATCTTAAAATTTAAAAGTATCAATTTATTTTACAGACTCTTCTAGTATGGCTGAAATAGTTTGCAGAAAGAACTATTTCCACCCCAATTTAAAGAATCTAGGGACTAATTTGGCACTTTTTATAGACTCTCAGACTAAAATGAACCCATGTAAATAGCCTGGGGATTATTTTTGGCACTTTGCTCTTATTGAAAGTTGTTTTTTGTTTTTTAATTTTGGTGCAAAAACTTGTGAAGAGTTGCCTTTTAGCCCATCATTGTTCGGTGAATGTTGTTTCAACATGCACAGTTCTACAACCAAGAATGTTGGTGTTCCATTTTTTAAATTTAAATATTAAATCTACAGTATCATTTGTTTTGGGAATATTTCCGTGCAAACCAATCAATGCTTACATATTTACATATCTAACGCTTAAACTTCAATGTTTACATATATGCTACCTTACCTATGCATTAAAAGGTATATTTCACTTTTTAAAAGTTAAAATAGTGGTATTTTTGATGTGACATAAAAGATTTAGATGGTATAAATGTAACAATCAAAATTCAGGTCTTAGATATGTAAATACATAAGAATTGGGTGACATGCATGTAAATACCCTTTTTTTTTTGAATTTAAAAGCTCTAGCTATTTGACAACATGGTGCAAGCCTTGAAATTTCGCTAAAATTTATACCCTCAATATTCATTACTCATTTTGAAAGTCACAGAAGAGGCTAATTATTGTAGAATCGGTCTTCGACAGGCTAAAGCCGTGCTTCCTCCGCCTCCGCCACCACCTGGTTTACCGCCAAAGCTGCAATCTGGTGCTTCTCCATCTGCTAATACAGGCAATTCTCTCCCTAAAAATGAAAATGCTAAGCTAATCCCATTGATTCCACCACCCCCACCTCCTTTATCCCAAGTAATCCCATATCCCAATATGCAACCTGATATGATGCCTCCTGGCATGCCAAGGTTCCCTCCCCCACCCCCACTGGACATGAGACCACCACTACCCATCCCCGGACTTCCGAACAGGCCTCTACCACCACCACCTCCTGGCATGGCTGCCCCACAAGTCCCAAGGCCACCTTTTCCTCCGCCACCTGGGCCACCTCCATTGCTGAGACCTCCAATGCCTCCAGGTCCTCCTAATCAAGATGATGATCTTGCCGCTTTCAAGGCCCCTGCTCCTCAAAAACCTTCTTATGTAAAGTCTGCTGCATCTACAGTTGTGAAAAGACCACTGGCGCAGCATACCCCAGAACTCACGGCTATGGTATGCTTCTGATTTATCTTTACTATTTGAGTAAAATGCCAAAATAATCACCTGACTATTTACGTGGGATTATTTTAGCCCCGAGTCTAAAAAAGTGTCAAATAGTTCACAGACTCTTTTAATTAGGGCTAAAATAGTTCTTTCTTGAGATATTTCAGATGATATTTTAAAAAATATGAGGATTAAATTGACAGTTTTATAAAATAGAGTACTATAAGTTCTTTCTTGGGACATCTCATAGCATCTGCTTGTTTTTCTATTTTGCTAGGTTTTAGGTCTTCACTTAAAATTTTGATAAGCATGATGTTTTAATCTGTAAAGTTACACTAAAATCTCTGGTATAATAATTATTTTTGCTTTGATTTGCCTATTTGGAGCATGAAGGCACTAACTGTTTAAAGGGAAATATAAATATGGCTTGACTTCCTGTTTGTTTTTTTTTTTTTGGGAAATTTACATAACCCCATACAGTTCTTATGTAGTCTGATGTTTACACTTGTAACACCTTTGTGTCATAAACCTATGCATGAAAATGTGTAATTTACTTTTAGAAGGATAGTAATGTTGATATTTTTTTGACACGATGTTAAAGATTTGAGTGCTATGTACCTAAATATGAATGTTTAGGTGTTAGGTATGCAAATACATAAGAACTGTGGTTTATTTCTAAATGCCCGTTGTTTTATTTTAATTTTTTAAACTTAATTTTGTGTTTTAGATCCCTGCCTCTGTGCGTGTGAGGAGAGAAAGCGCGTTACCAAAAACAAAGCCTAAGCCTGTGTTTGCAGCCGCCCCTTTGCCTTCCCGGCCAGGCATCACCGCTTCAATTAGCAAGCCGGAGACGTCGGCGGCTGCTTCAGTACCAAAGCCACAAAGCATTGATGACTCATATGTGGCTTTCTTGGAAGACATGAAAGCGTTGGGTGCTCTCGACGGATGATGTAAAACAGTTTTTAGGGATCAAATTTATATTTGGTCAGTATATTTTAACTTTTCTTAATTGGTTGAAGTTCATGTTTCTTGACTGTATTGATACCTCCAGTGATTTATTCAGCTGGATTGGCTTTCAGTCTTCTTCACTAACAGTAAAACTCTCTCTCCATTTCTTCTCCCATCTTGTAGAATTCGTTCATGGTAAAGCAGGGGTTGATTTAACCAATTGATATACAAATCTTATTGCTGTTGCATGTGGACTTGAAGCTCTGTAAATTTGAATATGATGTATAATTGCTTCAAATTGATGCACATGAGTGGAGGAATGGTTTAATTTTCCCATGTTCTTCCCTTTTTGTTTAGACAGCAGGCTTATTATTTTAGCTGAAGGTAGATGAGTTTCCTTTTACTTCTTCATCTGTTTCGTGTTGTTATCTCAAGGATATTTTTTAGAAGTTTTGATATGATCTTTTGATTTTAGATGTTGCATTGTAAAATCAAGAATAATCTTAAGAAACTTTAGATAGCATAAATTTCTGGATTAAGACTGTGCTAATTGATTATAGACTAAGAGGGCTATGTCGTTTGCTAGGTGAAAAATAAATATATCACTTGAAAAAAATATAATTATAATGAGAATTTTAATTATACGCAAAGCTTTTATCCCATCAAGTGGGACGGGATATATGAACTTTTTTTTTTTTCATTGTGGCCTATTGAGTGTCATATTTTTATTTAATTCTAATTGTATGCACAAAAAACTGTTGGCATGAATCTCAAAGCGTTCTTACGATCAGGAATAATGGAGTAAATAGAACATCAGAGTAAAGGGACACGACCTGAGCCGACTATTTGACGGCCGATTGTTTGGTCAAAGTTAATCGACATACGGTGTCAATGGATCTCATCTGCATGCCACTTATCGACCTAAGAGTGTCTGGTCGCGACGGGATGATCGGTCGACTTTGCTTGCATGAACACCTCGATCGGTTGACTGAACTCAAAAACGACCAACTAATAGTCGTTATATTCAAATTTAAATTGCAATACAAAAAAGGAACTAAATCATGTAAATTTAGTATCAAATCAACACGTTAATTGCGTTAAGGGAGGTTTCTATAACAGTTCCCTCCTTTTTATAATTATTTGAATATAAACCTATAAATAGGGGGCAAAAAGATGAATTAAGGGACCCTGGTCTATGAACTTTTCCACAGCCTTTCTACTGAGAATTTTCTAATGCTTTCTTCTCTCTCATCCTCCTCTGACCAACTCTAACTCTTTTGTGTGTATTTTTGAAAGACAATTCAAGACCCAACACACTAAAAAGTGGTGTGGTGAGCATGGAGATGTCCCAAACTAGAAGTGGAGCTGACTATAAAGGAGAATCTTTGCAGAGAGAAATAGCGCCCATGGAATTCAATAGAGAGACAATATGTTGAGAAATACAGGAAGAGGTTCAGGCAATGCTACTACGAATTATGGATCGATTCGAGGCCCTCCAAACTGACATAACGCAGAGGAAAATTCAATCGCCATCCCGAGAGGGAATGTCTTGGGGGAACTCACCCCAGAGAGCTCCCCTTGACGTTCTGCCAGCGCCCAATGGGCAGGCCAATGTTCGAGCGAACTCCCAATGCATTAACAGTGTGGGGTCTACATCGATAGTTAGACACTAAGAGGACCGAGGGGAAGTACTCGCCAGACAGACAATAGGCAATGCCTTCTCTCAGCGAATCTGGTGACTATCCCTCCAGCGAAGCTTAATATTCTTCATTTCGATTACTATAAAGGAAATAGTGACCCGACAGACCACCAAGCTTCTTTCACATCATCAAACAGAGTCATACAGATCAATGAAGCAATAAAATGTCGGTTTTCTTTGACCACACTGAAAGAAGCTGCATTGCAGTTGTTTAATAACTTGTCATATGTAATCATCTCGTTCTTTGAATTTTGGAAGCACTTCCTCGCGCACTTTGCCAATGTACAGAAGCCAAGGAAGGTTACAGAGACTCTACTCTAGATCAAGCAGGGAGAAAATGAAAGCTTGTGGACTTACATCATCTGCTTCGAGAAGGAAATGCTAGAGGTAAAGTTGGAGCCTCTCATCGCTCAGACTGCCCTGATGCAGGGGATCAACAACAAACGATTCAGTATGACCAGAACCTACTCGAGCCAAGGACCTTCATGGAGGTCTTAGAATTATCAAATGACCACATTGTTGTTGAGGGAGACCTTATGGAGTCCTAGAAACTAAACTGGGGACATCCTATCGTCGGTCGCAGAAGTGAAAGGGCTGAGATGACAATAGAAGGCCAAAGGGTGATCGAGCCTCTGGCGGTCGACAGGCCGACAATCCTCGATCTTGGGATGGTCGAGGGGGTGATTGAGGTGGCAAGTGTAACGACTCTGTACGCCTGGGGGTGGAGGGGTGGAATGAAGAAAATGAAGGAACATAGAAGAAGAAACGAACAAAAATGAAAGAGAAAACGATGAATCGAGAAAGGAAGAGGAAACAAACAAGTGAAGAAGAAGAAACTGGAGGTCAGAAGTTTAGGTGGTGATTTCGCCTATATAGATCGACTTAACTGTGGGTTTAGCGACGTGCGAAGAGGACAACGTAAGGTTAGGGCAGAGGCAGCGGCTCTATCGAGCGGAGGAGGTAGTTTCAGTACTGTGCAGAGGAAGAGGAAACGGGAGGAAGAAAGTTCGTGTGTGGGAGTTGAAGCTGAGTCAAAGAAGAGGAAGAGATGAAGAAGGTTCATGCGTGGGAGCCGAAGTCGAGTCAAGGAAGGAGCGGCGGAGGAGAGTCGTACCCTAACTGATAGTGAAGAGGAAGAGGGAAGGAAGGAGTTTTGTAGAGGATGGTTCTTGTGGGAAGGAGTAGAATCCCCTTGTAATTGAGCTGAAGAAGAAGAAAGGAAGCGACAGATCGCGCGGGCTTGGACCGAACTTTTGGTATGATAGAAAAATATTATGTTTTGTATTTTTAATATTATATATTAATTTATTTTATTTATATTTATATAATAATAATATTATGAAAGATTTGTTTGAAATATGAAAATAAAATTTACAATTACTTATTTAAATTTGAGTAAACATTTATTAGATATTGAATAAAATCATAAATGTTGATTTAGTTGAAGTTTGATAGTTAAATTAAAGTAATATGAATACTTAAAATAAAGCTTCTAGTCAACAATTAAAGTTACATAAGTAATTAAGAGCTTAATTATGCATAATTAATAATATGCCTAAGATTATATTTTATGATATTGTAGGCAGCTAACTATTGGAGACAGATTAAACATGTTTGAAACAAGTCATAATACTTTGAAGTGAGTACTTTTACTTCTAAATTATGGTAATAATGTTGTATTTTCTTCTAACACACTCGCATTAGAATTAGATATCTTGTTGTTGCAATTAGAATAAGATTATTCAGGCTTGTTTTTCAATTTGATCATCAAGAAATGAATGTGACTGATTTGCAATCTTACTTTTTATCACACATGCATGTTATAAGATATTGGATGATATTTAGAATGTAAACAAAATGATTTATAAAATGTTTGCATTTGCATGATTGACTATGATGGAACACCCCTTAATGGTACTAACAATGAAACACTAATCTACCAGTGCACGTAAATGGAAAATGATATTAATATTGATGTGTCTTGATTGACACAATATTTAAAAGGTGTCTCTTGTGACGGCTGTATAGATATGAAATGATAATAGTATAAATCTCTTTAAATAGCATGTCAAATGTTTATATTGATTTATAAAAAAACTTAACTTACATGCATCTTGTTATTTTTTTTCATTGTATTGTTGTAGTTTATAATTATGAGTATTCACTGGCTTTTTAGCTCGCAATTGTTTTAACTAACTTTTCAGGTTTAATTAAATTATGAAAATATAAGCGATAGACGAGAAAATGTTTATAGAAGACGTAAATAACCATCAACAAGAATTATATTATTTTAATTTAATTTTTAGTTGCACTTTCATCTGTTAAATTGTGAGTTAATATAAAAAATTTAATTAACCTGTCCGACCGTCTGTTACAGCCTTGGTTAATTCCAAGCCCGGGTCAGGTCGTGACAAAAGTGGTATCAGAACCTAAGGTTTATGATAAATTAATTGAATATTGATGAAAAGGTCAATAAAATAATAATAATATTTTATAAAAATTAAAGCTAACTCAAAGTAATAATTAATATACATTTAGAAATAGTGATACACACGAAATAATAGAAGGAGAAAATTCGATAGAAAATGAAAAAGTACAACCTATTATTATTGTGAACACAAATGTCCTCACCCAAATGATGAGACAATGACTCAGCTGATTCAGGAGTCTAGATCGCAACCTAATAATACAATTGTTGTGGATAAGTACTTGAAGATATTTTAGGATCTGCGTACACCTCTGTTCAAAGGAAGCGAAGGCCCGATTGAAGCTGAGAATTGGCTAACGAGGATAAAGAATATGCTAGATAGCATGACTTGTTCAGATGAAAGAAGAGTACCATTGGCCACGTTTGTGTTGAATGGAGAAACCGAAAGGTGGTGGAGTGGATAGCGCCAGGATAGGTTACAAGACATACCCAACACGAAAAAAAGTTGGGAGGAGTTCGTGGACCTTTTTAGAGAATGATTTGTACATTTATCCGCATGACAACAGATGCAGGACAAGTTCATCAAGTTTGAGATAATGAGAGAAGATGGTCATGCAATATGAAGCAGAATTCACTGCACTATCGATGTATGCGTCTCAATTGATCACTATCCTAAAAGAAGAAAATTGCTACAGATTCCTTTCAGGATTAAAAGATTCGATCAGACAGTTGTTGGTGCCCTTAGGAATCGATGAATATTTGACATTAGTAGAACAAGTTAGAAGAGTAGAGAACGACTATCAGTTTACTCAGAAACGTAAGGAGATGAATAAGAGGAAGACTGCAGAAGAACATGTAGATCACTAAAAAGGATACAGTGAGAAGAAGTCCAAGAATAATTTAGGTGGAGTTAGCAGTGGTACAACTCAGGGTACTAAAGCAACTTCTGTCAAATGCGGAAGATAACAAAAAGGTGAATGTTTGATGGACTCTAACACTTGCTATTGGTAATGTCAGCCTGCTCATATAGCACAATATTGCCCATGTCTTGGCCAGAAAAGCACAGAAGATCAAAAAGTCGGTGGAGCTCCTTCACAAAAGACATTAGGTGGGTAGGAAAAGATATAGTCTATAGATTCAGCTCTGACCCAAGGTCAATCAAGATAACCTGTTCAGCCTCGAAGCCTTAAGAACCTACTGCAAGTGAACGGATAACAACGACT